ACACGGCCTCTCGGCCCATAGTTCCAAAGTCACAATAGCATGACAGATGCTCTTTTTTTCATTCCATGATATATATATATAAATTATATTTGGCTGCATTATAATGATTTCTGAAGACTAAAAATGTACTGTTTAATGTTATTTTTTAGTATTATTTTTCTTTATTCATTTTCATAACTCCATAATGTATTTTATGAGTCAGAGTATGTTTGTACATGTGTGGTGATGAGAGAGCTGGGAGAGTTATATATTTTGCATACAAGTATGTGTGCAATGTAACGTTCACTGAGCAGAGATGTTCCACTAATGATGATACTTCAGTTGGCATGTTCTTTACAAGGAAATTAATGTTTCAACTTATGCAAATGTACCACTAATGTATACACAGAGGGAAAGTGGATTGTACCATGAGTAAGCATGAGGTATACGTTCCATTTTAAACATAAGCAACATGTTTTTCTACCTTACAGGGAAGTTGTAAGTCCCAGAGTGGTGTATATAAGCTTAATCTTACTGTACCACCTCAGAAAAACACAAAAGCATGAGGGGGTGAGGGAGGAGAAACCCAGAGAAACCATTTACAGCTGGCATGATGGGGTGAGAGGATAGAGAAATGGGGAACAGCGAAATCTGGAATGAAGACCACCTCTCATGTAGCCTTATTCTTCTATGCCTGTTTCTCTCTGTCTGATATGTATATTAAATAATAAATAGAGATCTCTTGGCAAAGTAACTGGTGTAGCCTCCGTGATTCAACAATAATGGGGAAAAGCATGATTTTCAAATCTACAATCTCCTAATTCGGAATATGATCAAGATTGCGTAGGTGGACGTGTTCAGGTATTTTGTCTGTTGAAAATATAACATTTAACGCCACTCAAATGAACAAAATGACTTCAATAAAGAAGATCCGTTCATTTTGATGAACGAGATTGAATGTCCGTAGTTTTTCCTCTTTGTCGCCATCTCTGTTCAAAATCTGCAATTGCAGTTATTCGCGGAATTATCAACTTTACGTGGGTTGTGCCTCGGCACGGCACAGTGCGGATGAATCCAATGTTTTGAGGAGAATGTGCGGCTGTCAGTCAACGCGCCGGTGTGGATACTGTCATTTGGAATCACAGATTCTACTTTTTGGAAACGACCAACATAAGAATTTTCACCGGAAAATGTCATCTGAACAAGTAACATCCACTTTTGTTCTGACCAACTTTGTTCTCAAATTGTTAATGTTAAAGTGTAAATTGCAGGTTACATTTTTCACGAAGATAATGCAATGTGCTTACTAAACATAAAGATAAGAACCGCCCACCATTGTTTTTTATACCAAAATGCTGAATATATTTTGAAAAGTTGGTACTTTTTACACTCCCCCTCCCTTCCACTAGGCTGGGCGTGACGTCATAAAAGCCTAGAGTTACCGTTAGTCTAACGGCAAGTAGGCTAGCAGTTATATAAAAACGTTTTTTTGGATTCAGAAGTGATGAATGAAATAACTCAATTGTAAACATACTTGTGTGTGCTGGCTTCAAGAGGACCGTGATCCTGCCTGAAATGAGAGTAAGCTATTCGCAAAACAAAGGGTTCAGGCAGCAATCGTCAAAACCAGGATGCTGCGTGAGGCACGTCAGATTTGCCGGTCGCGGGTCGAAAACGCGTTCACCTCACGGCAGCATACTCTCCACTGCTGATTCCATTGGGTGGCATAGCCCACACAAACACCTGTCAAAAACAGTGATAGGGACATCGATCTCTTTTTTTCTTTCTGACAATGAGCATAGCTAATTAGTTGCGTTTTAGCACAGGCAATATCGCGTTCTGTCAGCAGATGCCAGCAAAAGCGCCATTGTGCCTGTGCATTGTGTGCATCTCTACAGCTCTGATTAGGACTACTAACACCATGTAAATAATGTCTTCAGTCGTTGTCCCTCCTTGCTATTCTACATGACGGCAAGATTTTGAAAAGACTTTGGCTTGTTCCCTAATGTTATCCGGGTTAGCACCAGGCTAACCTAGGCTAGCTCTAGCTACTCACCAGGACACCTGGCCAACCCTCCACTCATTTTCCTCACACCAAGCATTGATAATTGATAAATTGTAGGGCTGTGGTCCATCAAGAATTTGATGGTTTCCCACCTCCTCAGTCTCCCAGTCGTTCTCCATAGTCAAGCCACAAACAGTAGGAATCTAGCAGAGTATGGGTTGCTACTCCCTCTTATGACGTCATCACCCAGTTACTGTAAAAAACATGCTACATTTGAAACCCCAATAAATGTTATTTTAACACATTTTAAGACAGAAATGTTATATACATATTGAGCACTTTAATTTACACATTAATTGGTTGTGGTGGTTAACCTGCAATTTACACTTTAACAACATCAGCATTGCGTGACTACATTTAATGCCCTTCAGATATTTTCCTTGTTTTCGCATGGGCCCGGTTGCAGTCTCTTTTTTTCTGTAGCCACTCAGAAGGAATGCCTTACCACAAACACCAATTCATAATCAATGATCAAAATAATGTCAAGGGATTCATGACGATAATGTCAACAAAAATGACTGCATACTTAAAGGGGTCATATAATGCCATTTTTATACAAGTTAATATGATTCTTTAGGGTCTAAATGAAAAGTTTGTTATATACTTTAATTAAAAATTCTCATTAGTATTGTAAGAAAACACTAATTTTACCTGGTCAAAAACAGCTCTGTTTTCAGCACGCCATTTAACTGCGTGTCTTTAAATGATAATGAGCTTCGATCACTCCACCCCTCTGTTCTGCGGGCGTTTTGACACGTGGAGTGTGGCCTTGACAACAGTTGAGGGTATATTTTGGAGAAAGAATGGCAGCGGGAGTCTCTGAGGACACATCTGTGCAACCGTATCAATTTGAACCGGAGTCAGACCCGGAACAAGATGACGGCTCCAAAGAAGTTCGACTTGAATGGTTGGTTAACGTAATGTCACTTTGATCTATCTTTGTATGTACTGGCAGGGTAGAGTAGTAAGATACGAACGCTATGTGTTTACTGATGTAACTTATACGTACAAAGTTTGTATTAACACAATAACCATAACGCGTTGTTCATTATAAACATGGGATTATGAATTATATTAAGAACGTCGTACATAGAAAGCATGCCGTAATGTACCCTGAGTGTAAACCATCGTGAAGCGTGCAAGCGATTTGCAAAGATTAATATAAAGGTTAATAAAACTTTACACTCACTTCTTTTGGAGGTGCAGCAGGAACACGAATAGTTGGTACCGATTCTTTTTTCAGGAGCAGCTTCTTAGCAAAACCAGCTTTATACTGACCCTTGTTTATAAAGCAGTCTGGTGAGAAATGATTCGCGCAAATATGAAAACATTGACGTTGATCGTGGGAAATATTTCCTTCGAAAACAAAACTCAGCCACTGCGTCTTCAGCGGTTCGGATTTAGGAACATCAAAATGACTGCTGTTTTCGTTATTACACCCAAGAACAGAACACCACAATCGCTTAGACGCCATTCTGCTCCAGCGTATCAACAATGGCGGACTATGATGACCGCTCGCTCAGGGCGGGTCTGTGTTGAAACGCTGCTGTCAATCAACAATCGTGGGAGGAGCGTCCAACCGCGTGACGTCACACAGTCAGACGGCTCGATTAGAGATAGGGGAAAACATATAAGGAGATAAAAAAATAAAAAAAAACACTGGATGTATTTTTATCATTATATGATGGTTGTGTACAGGCACTGCCAACACGCATTTCAGTACAATCAACTTGTAAAAGTACATGTACCATTATATGACCCCTTTAAACCACAATCTCCATCCATATACATTGGCCTCAGAAAGTATTTGGACTCACTTGCTCTCTAAATGTGATATCACTGCATGCAAATAAATTGTTTTTGGTTTGATATTTTGTTAATGCAATGGATTAAAAACAAATGTGAATTAAACATCCAAATCATTGATCTCTATAGCATAGATATCTATATCATTTTAGCAGAAGGGCCTGGATATGAAGACTGAAAATGGGAATGAATGAACATTTTACATGTTATTTATCTTAAATATACAGGCAACACGTCAAGTCGTTAAATACGGTTTTAGGTGCTCAATTTGCAACATTTAGGTTTCATAATAATGTGTTATGAAGCAGAACAGCAGGGTTGAGGTTGTGTGTTTGTGACGAGGCCCCCTGTGTGTGGCCTTAACACACACACACACACAACCTCCAATTACCCACGTAATTCTTTCCATCCCTGCCCGATAAACAACAATGAATTAACTACAACCATGAGAAAGACATGCAAGCTCATTCAAGACTGGAGACATAGAAAGAACGTAATATTGGTAGTTGTGCGTATGTTTATAAAGCTACAGATCGCTAGCTTTAGCAGGAGCTGACCCAGCGCGGGCCGTGTCTCTCTCTCGAAACCTAGCGAGCTCACTACATAGACGGCTTTTCTGGGCATCACAGGGGGCGTGTACACGGGACGCATTCTTGCGTTTAAGACAGAAACAGAATGGAACCGAACGCAGCGTTTCAAAAAACGCTTATGACACAACGGGATAAACGTTCGTGTTCGCGATATGCGATGACTGTCTAGGCAACTCACTAGGTTTTAAATCACAGCCATGGTCATGATGCATAAACATCCTGATTATGCACATTGGTATATATTAACGCTTTAAACGCATTTGGTTTCGATCTTAAATAAATAAGCAGATTTAGTTAATAGGGTTAAATGTAATTTAAATATGTATTCACTGTAATATATCTACATCTGTGATTTCTGTGTCATGTACCGGTATAACTGTTATGCGTTTCTGGTTTATAGCGCTATACAGTGACAGTTTTATGTGAAGAATATGGATGCGTTTTTCATATACAGTACATGACAAACACCCTGACCCAATTAAACGACTCCAGCAGCAGCGTATGTGAAGATGCTTAAATGAATGGCAGTAAATGAAGCAGGATTTGGGCCTGTTGTTTACCTCTCAGGACAGGTGAATGAGGGCAGCGCTCGGGTGAGCTCCTGTGGTCCGGAGGAGAGCGCCTCTGCCCCGGGATCAGCCGACCGTCCAGCGAGCCGTTTCCTGCCGGACTGGCGAGCGTCGGGCTGTCGGAACTGGAGCTGCTGAGCTGGGCTGCTACGGTCGGTTCTGTGTTGCTTCCGACTGAGATGGAGGAGGAGAAGGAGGAGGATAAGGAGGACGCGGGAGGGCGGGTCGGGCTGTGCTGCTGATTTCCACGCAGGAGCTGGTAGGGCACCGTGGCGCGAATGGGCTGCAACCGGCTCGTGTTGCCGGCGGAGGATGATGATGATGATGCTGAGAAAGAGGAGGAGGAGGTGTTGATGGGGGACCCGTCATTGACGCGCTTGACCCGAGCCGAATGCACAGGTGATGCTGACATGACTGAACCTAACTATGTGGTAGATTTACTAAAAAATACACTAATACATTCCTTACCAAGCCTTCATTAACTAAACTTATGTCATTAATTAAACTTCTTATTAAAAGTATTTTAACAGTTAAAAAAGCAGAAGCTTATTTTAATGTTGGTGTAATGCGCAGCCTCAGCTTGTTGGTTAGTGTGCTGAAATTGTAGCAATGTAGCTTCCCTGAACGAAGTTTTTGTCCTTTAGTCATGCAGATGATTGGATGACGCTAACTTGTCCTTAAAATGTGTCAGGGGTTCATCCTAGTCTGGAAACCTAAAAAAGTTGACGCTGAAGAAATGTTATCCCGACTGTCGTGTGTCTCTGCACCCCTCTTTGCCTAGTGTACTCCAAATGACAGGCTCTTCAGCGGCACAGTCATCGAGACGTGTGGGCGGGAGCGTCCGGCGCTCCTACGACCTCTGATTGGTGCATCGCAAGATCAAAATAAAATATGATTGGTTTGGCGAAAATGATGGACTCAGAAGGAGCCAATGGACTCATTGTGGTTAAGAACGTTTGGGATTCTGTCTTGCTATTGGTTGAGACTGTAAACTGACAGACTAATCTAATGGTGCAAAGTACAAACATTAATACTAGATAACACAGATGGTGTACTGTAACGGACTTAACGGTAAGCAATGCAAAGAGCATTAGAAGACATACGAGTGACCGGGGCTCTAAATGTCATTTATTAAATTTATTAATTACAATTTTAGCTCGAAGGTTGAGCAGCAGTTTTATCATGATAAGTTAACCCAATACATTTCAAATTGGGGCAAGTTGTCACAGTTTAAATGTCATTTATTACATTTGTTAATTTAAATGTCATTTATTCAATTCAGTAATTTAAAAGGTTTTTGGACAAAACAGTGGTGTGACATTTTTGTTAACATTACATTTTTTTGCCTTTTCTGGAATAGTTTTATATATATAAATAAATGTATTTTACCTATAAGTACAGTCGTCAATTTTATATAATTTTTGTGCTAAATAATATTTGCAAGATATGTACATTCAAAACAGCAAATTGCAACAAAACAATGTATGCAAATACGATTTTAATTAAACATTTTCATTACATTCCGCTCATGCTCAGAATTTAGCATAAACATCATGTGGGATCAGAATCAATGAGGAATTCTGTTCCAGATATGAATCAATAAGGAATCCATAGTTAAAGTGACATTACATTATTTTACAGACATTTTAAAGGGCAAAGACAGCACAATGCAAACTTTGATTACTTCAGTACAGTGTTTTGAAAAAGACTGGTCAGTGACTGAAAAATTAGGAGGAACCTTAGATTAAATAACTGCATCTGACAAATCAAAACAAATACCAATAAATACATATATATATTTAATAAACAAAAGTGAGATTTGATGTGATAAAGCAAATAAACTATCAAGTAAAGTACAGAGGATGTAAAGGAGACACAGCTAAACCTGAGTGCATTGTGTACATAGCAGCACGCACTATAAAACCCATTCATTAACAGAAATTCAGATGAAAGAGGGAGAAAAAGAGATCAACAACTATGTAGCCTGTTCAAACAGAACAGTAAATCCTATTAAAATCCATGTGCATGTTTTTGCAATCAAACAATGTTCAGAATACATATCTGCCTCTAAAAATGGGGCGTTATCTAAGCAGAACTTAAAATCTTCATGCATTAAAACCAAACAACAACAGTAGATGTATGCAGTTCACACCAACATTTTTTTATATATATGCATACATTTACAAACAAAGAGATATAATATTGGCCTATTTATAATGAGCAGTGAAATGTCCGTCTCTCAATTTTAAGTGCGATTTTTTCACTTAAGGTGATGTGTGTAATTTTTGTGTTGTAAAAATACTTCATATCCCAACTTAATATGCAGACACAACTACAAGTAAGCAAAATTCGAATTATAAAAACAAAATACTCAAAGGCACTCGCGTGGTGAATGTAAAAAGTCAAAACGTGTAGATATACACTTTTATTTGTAGGTTTTTAATGATTAAGCCCAGTTAATTAAAGGCTTTTTATTTTCACCATGTGAGTGCCTTGGACTATTTCATCTTTAGTTTGATCCAATGAGCACCAGTGGCTACGTAAAGACTACTGTGCAGTGTGCACCATTCTCTGCTTTTGTTGTTTTATAAGCTTTATTCTATACTGATTTCCCTGAAAAGTGTAAACACCATCAAAACATTGTTTGCATCCCGAACAGCCCGGCACAGCAACACTGACTCAACCAATGGCGTCAGTTAACGGCGGGACTATCTGTTTAGTTGACCAGTAGCAGACAGAGGAGTGTTTTTGCTACACCTTTAAGGTTTATAGGTACTCACTGTAGAGTTACAGCAAATCTAGTGGATTAGCCAAAAGGCCATTATGATTGTCATTTTTAATATTTATTTATATTTTAAAAATATAATTTATTTTGAATTAAATACTTAGAACTGTTTTCCAATTATTTATTTTAGATGTTTAAAGAATTGCATTGTTGAGTGACAGATTACTATAAAATCCTTCTTTCTATGTATCATGACTGGTTTAAGTGAACGATCTGCAAGCAAACTTCTTGAAACCGGTTCCATAAATTACAGTAAGTCTTTGCAGAACTAAGGAAAAACTGAGGAAGGCCAACGCAGACTGCGATGTCTGAAACATCAAACAACCGAATGCAACTACTGAGAAACACAGCTGTTTCGAAACAATTTCAGCCTATTATCTTATGCTACAGGACCCCACAGAGTCAAAATGCAAAATTGCACAGAATTTACACCCGTAAAATTGAAACAAACTACATTTGAAAAATGTAAAGCCATAGGTCATCTTATAAATACTCATCTACTGTTTTTAAATGAGGCGGTAACACTCATCTCACACAATCAAGTGCAAGATCCTGAGAGACTGTAAACCATCTTGATGCGAACTTCACTAACTTATTTAAACTAAATGGACAATATGTTCGTTTGAGCCCAACACCCTATAGTCAGTGACCGATTTTTTTCAGCTAACTAAAACTAGATCTTCATTTATTTAATTAAGAGGCAAGCGGTTAAGGAGAATCTTGACAACCAAAGCCTCATAGTTCATCACGTGTTAGTGATATGACCGATGGGCTGAGAGTCACGGCTCACAAAGCACAGAGTTCTCCAAGGAGAAGTCATAACGAAAGTTGGCTAGTTTGTCATTTATGTCGTGAGGCAAGGTGATATCTGTTACAAAGGGCAGGCCTGTCTGCATGGCAAGGATGTGTGGTGCTAAAGTGAACGGTATATCGCCTAGAAGTTCAGGGAGAGCAGGGGTGGCGTCTACACCGTGCGTTTCTGAGGACATCTTAGCAGATGTGGGCTGAGAGGAAGGCTGAGCCGTCTCTGCAAATCCTCTGTTCCCGGCACTGGATGGCTGAACAAAAAGAAAGAAAATCCACAGTGAAAACTGAGAAACCTGATCTGTTGAAGAGCAGTACTGTTATTATGTTCATCACAGCATGTGTGACTCAACTATAGTACCATTTACCAAATTGTGAGCAGGTCTTTAAATCCTCTTTAAATCCTCATCAATGTTGAATAAGTTCAGCCTTTACTCATTATCATCACCATCAAGATCAGGTGATATAATGTGTCAGGTATCAATTCCTTTAGCATTATTTGTTATTAGTAAGACTGACTGCAATGAGTCAAAAATGTGCCTCTCATTATTACCCCTAAAAAGAGAAAGCCTGCAGCCACAGAGCTGAGAAATCTGGTCTCATATGAGGTGGATGAGGATTCATTACAGCCCTGAAACATCACGATGAAGGAAGTCACATGTTGTACCACAACTAGAGCTGAACTTCACAGTCTGACACAACTAATGATGCACAGATGTGCAAAACAGTACAGCACATTTAAAACTGTTTGTAAATACAAGTGAATTATTTTCATCAAGACAATAAACAATTCTCATGCAACTACACTACTGTTTAAAAGTTTTGGGCCAGTGAGATTTTTCATTTATTGAAAGAAATTAAAACTGTTATTTATCAAGGACACATTCAATTCATCAAAAGTGCCAGTAAACACTTTTATATTGTCACAAAAGATCTCAACTTTTAAATGCTAGTCTTTTGAACTTTCTATTCATCAAATAATCCTAAAAGAAATTGTATCATGGTTGAAGACTGAAAAGTATTGATGCTGAAAATTCAACATTGTCATCACAGGAATAGATTACATTTGAAAATATATTCAAATAGAAAACAGATATATTATATTTTACTGTATTTTTTATTTAAAAAAAAAATACAGCCTTGGTGAGCATAAATGACCAAATCCTGACCAAAACCTTTGTATGGCAAAGAAAATTCTAAAGTATATAATAGTTTGTGTGTAGTGGTGTATTATAACATAATCAGCTCTAATACACCAGTTAAGACACTGTCAATGTGCATTATCAGTTAAGGTCAAATGTGAAACTAAATGCTCAAAAATATGTTAATTTGTCAGTGATTAAATGAGCAAAGCTTTCTTAAGCTGCAGGTAAACAGAATCTGGTTGTCTTAGTTGTGGAGGCTGGAGGTGGTTTCTTACTTTTCCTGTTTGTCTTATATGAGTGCCAAACAAATGTCAGACAGGGAATGATGATCTATTAATGTCAGTTCTTTACTGTAACACGAGACTGTAACAATACATAGAGGGAGAAGCAAAAACACTGAACAACTAACTGAACTAAATAAGGTGGAAATCTTAAATTCTATACTAATGAAAGTGGATGGTGATCGAAAGCTGTCCAGCCCCAACAAAGACTAAAAATAAATCCGAGTGAAACAGAAAAAAAAAAAATGTAGGGCAGGAGGACCTTTTGGATTTTGTCCATTGGGAACTGATTGGATCCTTGTTAATTGCTGCAATCTCATGTTAGCAACAGGTTGCTGGAGAAGAGGGATTATTGTCCCAGTGCACACGTCATCAGAGACGAGATGTTACAAGAGGGAGAGGACGTTAATGTTTTTATTAAAGATTACTTAAAAAAAAAAGGATGATGTGCAGTTGTGCACAGATAAATACTTTATAACAAACACCGCACCAATCCATAAAAAATAAGAATTTTCTATATTGATTTCATAGTGACTTTAACATTAAAGGGTTAGTTCACCCAAAAAAGAAAATTCTGCCAACAATTCCTCACTCTCATGTCGTTCCAAACCCTTAAGACTTTTGTTCATCTTCGGTGCACAAATTAAGATATTTTTAATGAAATCTGAGAATCTAGAGTCCATTCACCCATAAAGAGTTCATAAAGAGCTTGTAAAAGTAATCCATATTAATGGTTTAATTGATCAGCGAACTTACACAGAGCACTCAAATATAGTAAACGGAAGCTCAACTCTACTTTCTTGACGCATGAGACAGACCTCTGTTCTCTCAAATTCCATTAAAAATATCTTCATTTGTGCATCGAAGATGAATCAAAGTCTTATGGGATTGTAACGATATGAGAGTGAGTAAATAATGACAGAATTTTCATTTGTGAACTAAACCTTTAAAGCAGGGGTGTCGAACCTTGGTCCTGGAGGGCCACTGTCCTGCAGAGTTTTGCTCCAACATGCCTCAACACACCTGCCTGGAAGTTTCTAGTATGCCTAGTAAGACCTTGATTATCAGGTTCAGGTGGTGTGTTTAATTGGGGTTGGGGAACTAAACTTAATGTTTAGTTGCTGATGTGCTGAAGTTTTTCATGTGTTTTTTTCCATTATTTTGTCCACGTGATTGTAAAACGCACTCACAAGTCAACTCCAATAACTGACTCTAGGCTTTGGGATTTTGTGAAAGCCTCTCATATTCAATGAGAAAGAGTGAGACTGAGTGTCTTTCATTAGCCATATGTCTCCAGGCAGTGCTGGAACAGATTGCTGAATGGCAGCGGCACATGTTGGCGCTGTTCAGTCCTTTCCACCTGGCACCTGTCACACACCCGTTCGGCCAGCGCAACTCAAGGGGCTCTTTCTCTCCTCAGTGCTGTTGCGCGCCCAGCACACAGCATATGGAAATCACGCCAACCCACTAACATAGACGACTCTATGAGTGATCCTTAAGATTTAATTAGGATCATACTGAAAACGTAGCATACTATGTTTACTGATACTCAGCTCTAAGCAAAGAATGTTTTGATGTTTCATCATCCGCCAGGTCAAACTCGTAAGTTTGATCACTTAAAAAAAAAAAAAGTAACAGCACACCTTTCCTCAACAAGCATGCACATCATAGAGTCTTTATACAGCTCTTTGTGTAATGTGCGGTGACACTAGTGAAAATTTGCCAGCAAAAAAGTCCACTGTTAATGGTGCATCTATGTGTAAATAAAAAGTCACTTTAAAAATGAGCAGCTTTCTGTTGTTCAACTAAATTAAACCTGTTGCAAATCTTTCTGTGGAAATTTCTCTCCCTCACGAGAAATTCCAGGATTCCAAAAAAATGACAGATTTTTGCCCATGTAAATAACGGTAAATTTGACTGCACCTTGAATGCTGTCTTTATGATTCTGACTTGTGATGTGCACTACATTTACAGTCTTCTGCTATGTGATAGATTTATGTGAAGAATGGACTAAAATTTAAGTTGTTATTCACTGATAATCTTGCCCTCCAGTGAACCAGTGAACCTCTGGGTCTGGACCAATGAGTCAGTGAATTGTTCAATATTTTGAGCCTATACTTTCAATGAACCAGCAACGGCAATTTGTTACTGGTTTGTTTTGGAAAATTGGTGGGTAATTCAAATTAATTTCTACATGTTTGTATTATCTGCTTACGCCCTACTAATGGTTAGGTTCAGGGTTGGACCTTCATGCTTTTCCATACGAATCACATCGTACAAATTCATACAAAGTTTCAGTCTCACATTAACAGGTCACTGGATGGGAAGATTATAAGTGAATGATGACTTAAATTTTGTTTGAAGTTTGTTGTCATACCATCATTAAGTATTTGTAATTATGGATCACTCTACGAAGTAAAACAAAACACACCTTAGATGGTTGTACTATTACATTTGTTGCAGGCTGCTCAATGTTCATGGATTGAATCTTCCGTCGCTGGTCCTCGACAGTTTCACCTGAAAGGCAAAGTATAAAAACAATGAATACTTTTCAAATCAACCAGAGAAGAAAGGCATAGCGATTCCCAACGCCAGTCATAGACGCTTTACGGTAATGGCTTGATTTTCAAAAAGAATAATACATTTTCCTCCACGGCCAGGACAATAATGTGGATAGATTACTTTCTTAGATTACTATCGTAGATATATTATATTACAAAGCATTCCTTCTACGTACTTACAGCCACAATCAACGGTGTTACATAAGAGTAACCTGCAACACCTTGAAACCATAACTAGACCGAATGCTGTGTAACATAAAAAGGCATTATCCATGTAAGACCCGTTCGCATCATTACATCTTTTTCCTGTCTGAAGTTACAGATGGTGTAGTTCCTGCTTGAAAATGAAAGCCAGCCTCTTCCTGTTGCTCCTGAAAATCACACAGCTGAATGTCTTGGTGATCGTCTGCTCACCTCTGGGGCCTTCACACACACACACGCTCCTCCTTGTGTTATTAACACCTTCACAACACCTCCACAAATAACTCCCTCTGAGATGGTGTCCATTGTTTATGTTCAGGGAAAAAGCTTGTATGACTTGCGTTTAAAGGGGCGTTCACACTGACAGCGATATAAGTGGCACCAGAGGTCACCAGGTCTTGGTGTTAGTTTGCAAGTCACTGTTCCTCTCCTGGACTGCAGTTTCCGACTGCATCATGATGTGGGTCACATTCACTGCTTTTATTTTTTTTGCATGGGCAATGCTCTCTGTTCCTCATGTAGTCTCAAACTGCCATCTCCAAACGACAATGAATTATTTGCTGCAAAACACTGTAAGAGGGAATTTCTTTTAAGACCTTCCCTATACCAATTGCTATTGCAATTATGGTATTCGGTATTGCACCAAAATATATTTTTTAACGAAAACCACAATTCAAGTTTCATTTCCCTTTTGTTTTGATGTTTTAACTGAAAATCAAAACTGAAAGTAAAGTTTTGGTAATTGAACTCTGGTTTGATTGCTGTTAGGGTGTTCTGAACATTGTGTTCTCAGATAATAAATTAAGTTGATAGAGCTGATTCTTGATATTTCACCCAAAGAAATTTTACATATTGCAACCTGATGCTGAAGGCTGAAAGAGTCAAAACATAGTTTGTCTATTACTGTATTAAAGTTTGAGATCATTGTGACAGTCTGCTTTCCTGTTGTTCTTTTTTTAAAGGCCTTCCTGTGTGTTTTTGGTCATGCACCAGCTTGAAAGGTTTTTTTCTTTTTTTTTGGATGTGCACTGCACATACAGTAATTGGAGAAAAGCATAATTTAAAAAAGCGCTAATTAAACTGCATTATGTCGATCAATGATTTTGGCTGAAACCGAAAAAGGGCATATTTTTTGGTTGCCAGAATTTTGGTGCATCGCTAACAGACCTGATCCAATTATGACCAGATCGGACAAAATGGCTCTTTATGTTGGCCAAATTTGTCATATAATAAACTAGGGGTGGGGGAAAAAATCGATTCTTAGATGCATCGCGATGCGGATGTGGACGATTCTGAATCGATTCACAATTGTCAAAAATCGATTTAAAAAAAAAAAAAAAAAATTTAGATATATATTTATAATAACGTAATATTGACGGAACGCGAAAGACGGAACTCTGAAGCGCGGAAGTGCAGTGGCCGGACCGTCTGTGGCGTGCACATAACAGACGCGGACGCGATGGCTGAGCGCCAAATCCAAACACCCTCCTCGTTAAAAGCTGACGTGTGGAAATATTTTGGCTTCTGAAGTTGAAGGGGGAAAGGAGCTGGACAAGAGCCACACTAGTTGTAAGCTTTGTAGAGTAAAACTAAAATATAGCTGCGAGCAGCGATTACGGGCCCAAGCCGGTGGCACCGCAACCCCGGTGCCTTTAGTTACCTAAAGGCACCGGGGTGGCGGTGCCGCCGGCTTTGGCCCTTCATCGCTGCTCGCAGCTATATTTATATATATATATATATATATATATATATATATATATAAAGCCGGTGGCACCGCCACCCTGGTGCCTTTAGGGTTATTGTGCACGACGTGACACAAAATATCTGCTCGCTATCTGCCGAACGGCTCTGGTAGTTCTGCTTCAACACTGATGATGTTGTAGAAATAGTGCGCTCTGGTTGGTCTGGATTATTCGGGATTTTTTATTTTATACAGAAATAAGTTATTTATAATTCAGATGAGAATAAAGTTAGTGTTGATTAAAATGAAGGAAAACAAATATATTTATCTGAAATATAGCACATTAGTTTTAAATTTATTTAGGTTCAATTACCAAACATACAATCTTAATTTAATTTAAAGCAAACAATACATTTAAAATATATGGCGTGTATGCACTTTTTTTTTTATAAAAAAAAAAAGATATATATCCAAAAAGACAAGGCCTTAAAGGGTTAAACTCTTGTCACTGTAACAGACACAATCTCTCTCTCTCACACACACACACACACACACACACACACACACACACACACACACACACACACACACGTCAAGTCACTTACATTTTAGATGCAATATTGAATAAGCAGAAAAATCGGATTTTCTGCTCTGAAAATATAAATAAGCTTAAAAATTGAATAAGCACTTTGAATATTCTAAACAGAATAAGCACTGGTCGCTAATGTATAAGTACTAGTACTTAATGGAATAGATACTAGTATCTAAAAAATAAGTACTAGTAGCATGAAAATAGAGACTAGTAGGTTAAAATGATTAAATGTTAAAACGGCTTGCCATATTGGCTCAGAGAGAGAGAGAGAGAGAGAGAGAGAGAGAGAGAGAGAAAATTACCTTTTAGATACTAGTACCTATTAATAGATACTAGTATTTAGGCTCTAGATCCACTCCGAAAGTCACTTCGTGATCATTTAACCGCTTCATTTGAGAAAAACTATCATTATGACATAAACAAACAAACTCAAAATGTCTTCACGGCAACCCGTCAAAATAAAAGTTCGGTTTAACTTGACAGAAATATATTACCGGTGTACAGTAGAATTTAGATATGTCCCAATGTAATAATACTAACACTAATCCAAATAAATTATCATCAAAACTGAATTTAAGGAATAATCCATGTTTTAATTTTAACAGTAAAGCTCATTGTGCAGCACGTTATTTGACAAAAAGTTTATTTAATTTCATATGATTAAAATTGATGATAAATGATACAATTTGTGTTTTATGTCTTCATTTTATTACCAGAAAAAACACAACACAGAATTAGTGTGACATTTTTTTTCATATATTTTTTTAAATGTTGTATACGTTTAATGATTCATAATACACTATTTCAATTAATTAGACATGCTTTTTGATTGCTAAAAAATTTACACCACGTATTCGTAATACACCTGCTCCGCAACACTAGCAGTTCCCCCAATCCCCCACCCCCCCCCCCCCTGAAAAAAAATCCTAGGGGAAACACTGGGCATTCATAACGGTGCGCGTCCATGGCGACGAGCGAGCAGAGCTGAGCGAACGTTTAGTTAATTTATTCATTCGAGCGCTCTGCAAGCGCCACCATTATCAATGTGGACGTCCGTATTTAAAAGCTCTCGATCCTCAGTCACATACCAAATATGTATATAATTTTGAACACAAGAGGGCAGTATGGCCCTATGTATGAGTTGGTGTTTAAACTAAACTATCACTCAAAGAGCCCCTTCCCCCTTCCCCCTTCCCCCCACAGACACACACACACAAACAGAATGGCAGGGGGACAAGAAATCCATTCAAACTACAATATCTGACTTTCTGTTGCTCTGAGCTAATGACTTTAAATTAGAAAGTCGATTGGCTTGATGAGAACAATATGTGTGGCAAGTTTTGTAACTGTAGGTAAAACGAGCAAAGTTATAACACACTTTATGTGTCCTTTTTTAGTCATAAAATTAATTTCCTCGCCACGGCCAAACCGTTCGAGATATCAAAAATCCCTCCGGAATTTAGCATCATCAATGTCTTGACGTCATGCTGACCGAGTTTGCTTGAAATCCGATCAATTCCCAAGGAGAATTAAATAGAATTTCAGGGGTATGCGTTTCCAAACAAACCATGATAGCCGGCTTCCTGTTGGGATGTCGTAAAACTTAGAGCACGAAAGTTGTTCAACCCAATGAGATCTATAAGTGTACCGAGTTTCATATTATTACATGCAAGTGTCTTTGATTTATGGACAAGTGTTCGAATCCCAGTCCAGGGGGCGCTGTCGGTCCGCCCTGCCACGCCCGGGTACCAGCTTCAGTCCGGCCCTGATGGCCACGGGTTCTGACCCGTGTGCAAAGTTTCAAGAGTTTTAGAGGATGTTAAGGGCCCCAAAAGCCCCCAAAACCTTGATCAACAATAATTAAAAGCTTTGTCACTCAAACAGACACATCCCCCTCCCCCCACAGACACAGAGGTATGCAGAGAGAGGGAGAGAGTGACAGAGATTACTCCAAAACATCCCATTCAAACCAAAATATCTGACTTCCTGTTGTTCGGAACCAAAATCTGTAAATTAGAAAGTTGTCCGGCTTGATCTGAACAATATGCCTACCGAGTTTTAAGATTGCAGGTAAAACTATGAAACTAACCCTCTCACTTTTGTCAAAAGGTGGCGCTACTGAGTCCCTGCACCACGCCCGTTCCTGAAACTTTGCACATGTCTACTGGCTAATATATGTGACATGTCTGTCGAGTTTCATGCAATTTCAAGCATGCTAAGAGTCTCAAAAGCCTCAAAAAAGAATTTTGAAGTTTGATGTGTTGCCACGGTAACAGTATCAAAGATATCAAGAATCCATTCACAGGTCTACATCTGGCGTATGTTTACATTATAGTAGTGAAGTTTGAAGCAAATCGGGTAAAAATAAGAGGGTGATTTAAAAGCATTTTGAAAGTGACACACTTCCTGCTGCCAGTTGGTGGCGCTATAACTTTGACTCACAAAAGTCACATCCATGTGATCGGCCTCTTACAGCGAACACACTGCTGAAGTTTCATCAAGATCAGTTAATGTATGTAGAAGTTATAACACACTTCCTGTTTCACGTTTCTCGCCATAATTTCGTTTCCTCGCCACGGCCAAACCGTTCGAGATATCAAAAATCCCCTCGCAATTTTTCATCCTCAATGTCTTGAGTTCATGCTGACCGAGTTTCGTGGCATTTCTTTGAATTCTCTAGGAGAAGTACTTTAAATTCCATTGCATGCGTTTTACAAACAACCCTAAATAGCCGACTTCCTGTTGGGCTGGGGTAAAAAGTAAGAGCATGAAGTATATATGAACCGATGAGATCTATATGTGTACCGAGTTTCATATTCTTACATACAAGTGTGTTTGATTTATGGACCAAGTTTTCGGAGCCCATTCCAGGGGGCGCTGTCGAGCCCCCCTGCCACGCCCGGGTACCATCTTCACCCCGACCCTGATGGCCGCGGGTTCTGACCCGTGTGCAAAGTTTCAAGAGTTTTCGTGCACGTTAAGAGCCCCAAAAGTGCCCGAATAGTCGTAAGAAAAATAAAAGAGGAGAAAAAAAAAAAAAATAATCCTAAGGAAAACAATAGGGCCTTCGCCTTTTCAAGGCTTGGGCCCTAAATATTTCGGAAACAAGACACAAATGAGAAGCCATATGACACGTTTCCAGCCAGAGGAGGAAAAACACTCGGCTGTAACGTTACCGGTCGTTGTTATATTATTAATTTACTACAAATATGCTGCTGCTAGTTCAGACACACATGTATTTTCCTGTTGGTTCTTTGCAATGTTAATAAAATATATTGTACGTTAATTCTTTATGGGTCATTACTTTGTACTTTTAAAGCAAAGTATTTATAGTCACACACACACAAAAAAAAGATTCTGATAATCGATTTAGCATCGAATCGCAGCCCTCTGAATCGTAATCGAATCGAATCGTGAGGTGCCTAGAGATTCCCACCCCTATAATAAACACATGCTCTTCTTGAATGTATAAAGTCCCAAATCAGTTTTATACAGCTTTAATAGCTAATATCACGGAAAACCAACTGTAGCACATGGACACATTAAGTGCGAAAGAGCACAATTATTGAATTCATTCACTGGAAACCTTTACATTACACAAGCATCTGAAATCAAATAAAAAAAAACAATATTAAGAAGAGTAGAAAACTGTACTCAGTGCTATTGGCTGGATGACCTTAGCTGTAATACAGTCAGTCCCTTACAGCATTAAATCAATATCAACACCAAGAACGATAACTATCATCAAAGTAAAAAAAAAAAAAAAAATAGCACCCACACCACAACCGTAACGATATCGTTGGAATCACTTTCAGATCGATTTTTTTCAGGCTGGTGACCAATAAAAACATTGACAGCCAATCAAATCCATTTACTTTAAAGCGTGTGTTCTGGGTGTAGTGTTCTCAGGTGCTTAGAATAAACAGAATGTTATTGTCTCTTGGTGTGGATTGTGGACGCCAAGAGGTATATCGCTTGTTATAGCATTTGTTCTTGCTGTGAATGGGCATTTAATATTATATTAAATAATTCAAACAATTACAATTATAATGGAAACAATTACAAAACTCAACATTTTGCTTGTACTGTCCTTGTTCCAAAAATCATGGCGACGGACGGATATAGGATTACGTTTCTCACAGCCACCGCACTAGCCATTAATTTTAATCGAAGGAGACGTAGGCATGTTATCTAAGCATTAATGGCAAGGAAAACCCCTTATACTGGGAGCGGCCACATATGAGGTGTTTCTGGGAGGTTAAAGTACGCATAATTCTTTTGTCTTTTGAGTTTAATAAAATAACTTGTCTTCTGTCCAAACATACCACGCACACCCTCTTTAAAGAATGATGTGACTTTTACGGACGCCAAGTGACCTGTAAATGCAACAACAACAAAAAACATTGTTTCCATTGCAATTTTGCGAAATATTCCTTTTTCGAATTGCCCGAAAAACCACCTAATACGAGCGTAAAACCTTTTTTGCAAAATTGACGCGTTTAAGTGATCAACGCAGCCAAAACTGATTTGAAACAATCTGTATTGTATAAAGCACTATATAAATAAAGGTGAGTTGACATGGAACATAAACTGATCCTTTGCTAAGCTCCTACTATTTGCCATTTTACAAATCATATATGGCCTCATTTGCACTTCAAAGTCAAAGCAAGGAATTTCTTTCCCCAAGAGAAGTGGATCTGTGGCACAGATAAATAATGCAATGTAAAGTAAGCCTATATCGTGTCCCTTATGTGCTGTCAGCATGTTACCGCAGCCGCATACACAAGTTCCTTGGGCCTGTTCTAGTGTGCTGGAGGTGAACCGAATGAGAGGCTGCTCACTCCAGAGCCAATGAATGGAGCATGACGTACAGATCCCCTTCCATGTAATCTGGGCGTAATGAGTGGAGCTAGAAGGTCCAACCACACCCTAACCCTACCAATAACTATATCCCTCCACCCATTAGATCAACAGAGGTGGAGCTGGACTAGGTCAAGCTCCACCCATGATGTCCAGAGAGGGGGAGCTGGACGTCATTTGGCTCTGCAGTGAGCACTTCATATGAACAGCTCACACTCAGCAGGAGTTATGTGCAGTGCTACATATATCAATGACATGATAGACTAATTGTCAATTGCGATTCCATAAAGGAAAGATTATCAGAAATTTCAGGTAGTCAATTTGGAATGTGAACAAAACCGTATTTAGTGCTCCAAACCAAATCGACAATGTGTTCTGCTGCTGTGTGAAGGTAGCGGTCATGTGTTTGTCCCGTCAGCCAGGCGAACCCCTTAGGTCTAGTTCCAGGTTGAGCCAGAGCACTTCAATGTAGTCCAGGAATCATGCTTGAGTTGAGTTAATCTACAATTCTACCCTAAAGTACTAAGACTATGACTCAGAAATCAATAGAACAATAATAGATTTATAATCAGTTTGAAATAAACACTGAGACTTTAAATTAAAAATAATAATAATAATTTATACATCCCAGAACCAAACACAGTCAATATGAAATCAAAAACTGAGCCTATTTACTATATTTATGTAGGCCATACGGCCTTGCCAATAGTGCAAAATAGTATAATTTAATATCAGTTAACATTATTTTCATGATTTGCAGGCTTCATATAAATGTTAACTTCAAATTAAAAGCATCAAAGCATCACTCTCCTATAGTGAAATGATCTGTTTATTTCCAAAACATTCTCACAGCATGGTTAGCCTACATTGGAGAACCAGCATAGTTTGCCAAACATCCATCTATCCTCAGCAGTAATGTTCCATTCCCTGGTTACCAATATTTCCTCAAACTACATGAGCATGTGGTGCGAGCTATTCAAATCTCGCTCAAGCCCTCAGTAAACATATCCTGCTTTTTATGAAGCAAGGGATCTCTCTTACCCTTTGACCTACATTCCCTCTAATATAGTAAAATGTAGGCTGGGAGGCATAAAAACATAAAACCTTATTACTGTAAGTTGCAACTAGCACAACAAAAGGTAGGCTATGTTATATCATTGTATTAACTGTCGAGGCTGTGGCATTTGACCAACACTGGCCCTTGGCCATCTGTATCCACTTCAGGTACAGGAAATGGTGGTCTGCAGAGGTACAGAGAACCCCAAATACATGTCCTGATTGATTGCTACCTCATATTAAGGAAAAACACGTAAATGAGACTAGATAGAATTGTATTAACTATTACTATTGAAGAACTAACGTTACATTCGCACGGAATGTGATGATTGAACTATACTGTCCTCTTGTGGTGGATAGGAATTAACCAAACAATGTTTGGATTTATAGTTTACTATTAACAATATTTTGGATGGATGGATGGTCACACGGACAGGCAGTTAGATAGATAAACAGACAGAGAGATAGATAGATTTCACTTACTTATTCAACTAAAATAATAAAACAAAATATAGACAATGAGAAAGGTGCTTCTAAAATAAAATGACCAAATTACTTACCAATGATGACAAATCCATCAGTTTCCCTCTCAGAAGATTTTTTGGCTCCGTCATTCTTGAATCCGAAAAACTTAAACATCTTGTGTGCGTCTGTGTTTAAAAGCAGTCACTCCTCAACACACGTGATGATATGCTGATATGAAGCAGATTTCGCAATCAATCGAGTGTAACAAATATAATTTTCTTTTTCTGTATGCATTCAAAATCAATGTGATCTATATAAAGTCACAACATGAAGTCAATGAAAACTGCTGCTGCTTTGTTTTTCCCAGACAGCTCAAGAAACAAGCAAGTTAGCAAGCGTTGCTATACTACATTTCTGCTGAAATACAGTGAACAATAAAAAGAACAATCTTTTTGAGATTTGAAATACTGTCTTACTTAAAATCATATGAGTATAATATTTCAGTTGTGTTGTGGTAAAAGCGAGCTACTCGACTGAAGTTTTGTTTACGAGTCTTTCCCACGTCGTGTCCGTCTGCTTTTTCGCTCCGTGTGAAAACCAAAAGAAGCTTTTGCGTTTCACTCTTACAATGCGTTTCGAATAATTTTTTTTTAAAATGCGACAGTACTTCAAGCTCACGTAGTAAACCATTAAATATTTACTAGCATGTCCCTTACTAACAACTGTGAATATACTCTTATTATGTATGTGCCTATTAAATAACCACGTGCATGTGATTGTGGGTTGGAGAGTGTTGTTCACTTGGGGGTGACGTGACTTGAGAATTATTCTCTGTAAATATGAAAAAAGTTTCATTTTATTTTGATAGACAGATAATGCAATCAAATGGCTTTTATTATAAATCTATTTCTAATGATGGAAAATACCATATGAATAAACACAAATGGACTAAAGGAAAACCAAACTTATTGTTATTTTATGTAGAAAATGATTATTAGCCCTAGTGAGTAACTTATTTTTTTCTTATTTTTTTTTCCTCAAACTGTTATACTGTATTTTGATTCGGACTTACCACAACTAGGAACTATAGTTAACAGGCTATTTGTTTCGAGCGTTTTTCTCTGACGCACCGGAAACGTGGTCATCCGGGAAAAATACGTCACTTAATCCGAGTTTTCCCGCGGTTCTGTTTGACTCGACTGAAGTCATTTTGGGTTTTATTTCTTGTGTGTTTTGCCGTAAATATCCGCAATGTCAGGCGTTTATGAGTCCCCGAAGACCAGAATCAATACGTCGATGTTGTCTCAATACATCAATCGACCAGTCTGCTTCATTGGACGCTTGGAAAAGGTATTGACCGATTATTCACTTCTATTCGTGTCCTGAATTATGAACATTATATAATTTATTTACTCCGTAATGAGCCATCTAACGTTAGCTGTACGTTATAATGAAAATCAAGCACGAATGATGCATGATATGAGTGTTATGATACAGTGTAGTGTGTTTGAGTAGATTTCAGTATCATATTAACTGCAAGACGGACGAAGTGTTCCACGCATTGCAAAATAAAATCGTTTTGGAAGAGTATGAGTTCTGTCTAGCGTGTGAACATGACAGTATGGTTGTGTATTGACAGGTCCATCCATCAGGAAAGACTCTTACTCTTTCAGATGGAGAAGGAAAGACTGCATCAGTGGAGCTCAATGATCCTGTGAGTGATCAGTTCAGCAGCATATGATGCACTTCTGTGTATGATGTTGGTATTTATTAAAAAGGTCATATTTTCCCTGTCCTGTTTTAGTTGGATGAAGAGCTGAGTGGGATTGTAGAGGTTATTGGAATGGTGTCCAACAAAGGAACAATCATGGCTGTTTCACATACCCAGTATCGTGAGGACAAAGTCTCTTTCGGTATTAATTGTTATATTGATTATGATAGTTGTGTTGTCAGTGTCATTTGCACTGGCATGTAAAAGATTTCCCTTTTGCTTTGCAGATCTGGAACTGTACAACGAAAGCCTGAAAGTCCTTAATGACTATCCCCAGTATTACCCGTTTGAGGTGTCATTAAGCGGTTAAAAACAGCACTTTTATTTTCATTTTACAGTTTTTGTATAATTGGATATTTACTGTTTGTCCAGTTTTTGTTACTTGAAATAAAACTTATATAAAACTTTTGTTCACATTATTTAATTATTGAAGACTTCTACAGCTGTACATTGACAAAAATAATTCTGGAAGTTATTTACAACAAAATATTAGGTAAGTAAAATAAAGTTTGTACCATTTTTACACTGTTTTTTTTTTTTTCATCATGAAGCAAAGCATGACTAAATGAATGGATTTGTCTTAATTTAGCCAATTATTTTAGTTACAATGAGAGCGTTTTGTGCTAGATTTTACTGATGAATTACAATTTGTTTTAAAAGTGTAAAGTATACTTGTACAAAGTATATTTGCATTTAAAGTGAACTGAGCATAGTTCAAAAATTAATGTACCAAAAGGTTTTTTTGAATTTTATTAATGTGGTTATTTTTAAATAAGAATTTCATGTTTAAATGCACATTGATTATACTCAAAAAATAAAAATTTAATGACTGATCAGTCATTTAAGTAATCAAGTAAATTTTTGTTTTTCTAACTGTAATGGGTGAACAGGAGTGGTATGATACCGTATTGTGTTTAAACAGTTTTGTGTATCATAACTGCAAGATGAGTATAATAAAGGGATAGTTCATCCAAAAATGAAAATTCTGTCATCATTTACTTACCCTCGAGTTTGAATCTTCTGCTGAACATAAAATAAGATATTTTGAAGAATGTTTGTAACCAATCAGTTGATGGACCCCATTGACTTCCATAGTATGGAAATAAATACTATGGATATCAATGGTGTCCCACAACTGATTGGTTTCCGACATTCTTCAAAATATCTTCTTTTGTGTTCAGCAGGAGAAAGAAACTCATTCAGGTTTGGACAACGCGAGGGTGAGTAAATGATGATAGAATTTTTATTTTTGGGTAACCTCTCGCTTCGAGGCGATTACTATGCACATTGGAAGTAATAAACAAGATTGGGCAGCACTTGATGAACGAGGGGATATTTGAGGCTGGTCTACAGACATGTTTATTATTCCACATTCAAAAGTTAATTAATTATTCTTTTCAGGTTATTTTTTTCCAATGCGAAATGTGGACACCAAGATTAATCATTTTGGGCTTTTTTTGTATACAAGACTGGGTTCAATAAACTTGTTTTTATTCTACCACTAGATGGCAATGAAGTGAAAAACTAAACATGAAGGCCATGAGTTGGAATCATAGACTGTACAAATGGAATACACAATTTTATTTTATTTTATTTTTTAAATAGACAAAAAACATTTTGTTCATTTTTGTTGTTATGCTTTTACAACACAAGACCTAAATTGCAAGAAGTGAGGAAAACCATAAAGTTTAGCATCATCTTACTGTTTTACTTTTTATAAATAAAAAAAGTCTCTGGATTTGAACTGGTCTTGGTTTCATTTTATGAATTTTGATTATGAAAAATTTTAGTTAACTAACATTATTTGTAATATAATGTAAGACTATACTATACTAAAACTATGGTCTTATATTTACTATTTATGTATACTTATATTTAGCCTACTATTTACTCCAGACCAGTGAGCAGAGGAGACTGACACTCTTTGGAAATTAAAACCAGAATATTGGAATTTTCTTCTTTAATTATGCGAGGGGGGCTAATATTTCTATGGAAAAAACTTGTACAATTACAAAATTCATCAATCAGTAAATCACAACGTGTCAGGAGGGGGCGAATGAGCCAAATACCTCAATCAGTCACTTCAGCTGTCATGTTGAGTAACTCTTTGACAGGACAAACCATCTTCATTAGGATAAAAGGCATTAGGGTAAAATATGCATTCTGCATGTTGTAGTATTTAATATGATGAGCAATGGATAGCCTGCCTCTGTAGTGCTCAATGGTGTGGTGAGTTGCCCGAGGTCAAGCAGCTGCCATATTGTTGCAAGTTCTAACAAAGTGCTGTTTGTACCACTTGCACAGGAGTGTGGCAGTATCTATAGCCAGAAAAAAAAGTTATGTACATAAAAATTCACATTTTATTTTATTAGTATTGGAAAAGACTACAACATTCTCTTTTTAAAATATAAAATATGTTAAATAAAACAGCAGGAACCAAAAGACCAATTTGATTTTGTTTGTATTTGAAATGAGTATGTAACATCCTCTTCTCATTTACTACTGCAAATTTATACCAGCTTTTGGTATAAGAAACTCGTTGATCACATTTGATTAGGATAATATATATATATATATATATATATATATATACTGTATATATATTTATATATATACTGTATATATATATATATATATATATATATACACTGTATATATATATATATATATATATATATATATATATATATATATATATGTGTGTGTGTGTGTGTGTGTGTGTGTGTGTGTCTGTATCATATATATATATATGTATTATCCTAATCAAATGTGATCAACGAGTTAGGTCAAAAGGAATGTGTAAATTTAATAGATTGTTGCTAACTACAATTGTCTTCATGTAGCCTAATTAGTATTCATGGACTACAATTTGTAAGTAGCCTACTCAGCACTGTGATATTTACTTTCTAAATGGTTTTATTTCTAGGTCAGAAATTGAATAGGCTATATGCCGATTTTATCAGATGTAAAATACGTTTAATAGAGTCAAGCTTTTCACCTCTGACAGCTAGGAGAACAGCTAGGCTACTTTAAGAATAAATGAATTATTAGGCCTATAATAGACAGCCTAGCCTATACTTTTTAGAAACATAAATTGATTAGCTGAAGTGGATCGACCATGTGGTCATCCAAGTGCTAGTTTGATCAAACACTTATTCTGTTTCTAAAGATTAATATTCAGTCATGAGTTTTTTTTTTATTCAGTATGCTATAACAAATACGCCGACCAAATGTGCAAACCAACCCGATCTCTGGGTGTTCACACTTGGCAGATTTGGTCAGCTTCGAGCGAACTCTGGTGGGGTTCAAGAAAGCAACACGGACCAAAAGACAAATGAACCAAAAACGGGACGAGATGCAACCCTAAAAAGGAAATTGCTCAAGCGGCTGTTTTTTCTCGTCATACTCCCGAATCGTGATGTCCATCACAGTTCGGTTCAGGCATCAGAACCGCGTCTCCTCGCAGCAGGTCTTCATGTGTGACGGAGGAATTTCCGCTGCTGTTTTGACTCCTTTACACATTTTATAATCTCTTCACGAGTTCTCAGCTGGTCAAAATACCATCATATGCAGGCAACGCACATACAACAAGCGCATTTAGCCCAGCACACAGCATCTAGGATGTTCGGTAAGTTCCGTCATGAAATGTAGGCTAATAAAAGCTGACTAATCAGGTTGTGAACATATCCATGTGCCTTAAGGTTCGGTACATGGTCCGGTGTTAAAAATGCCAATGTGAACGCTAATTGACTTTATGCACAGCTGCACTACTTCCTGAACTTAAGCCAGCTCCTTTATTTCCTGTCTTACATTATTGGACACACTGATTAATCCAGGTGTGTCTGATTATTGTTGCTATGACTACTGAGGTCAGGCACACCTGAATTAATCAGTGTCCAATATTGTAAGACAGGAAATAAAGGAGCTGGCTTAAGTTCAGGAAGTAGTGCAGCTGTGCATAAAGTCAATTGGAACAAGACAATTTCTTTCTTCTTCTTTTTTTTGTCCGGACCAAACGAACCAATCAAACCGACCTACAAATGTGAACACAACACACCCAAGGAAAAAAGTAACTAGCCTATTTTACGAGGTGCCGATTTTGTATTCGTTAAATGTTAATCAAAGAACGTAAAGGTCCACCGCTAAACATAGGCCGTCTATGACTGGGGTGTAAACAAATTCTAAAATGTAGGCTATGTATGGATGAGTTTGTACAAATTCATAGTTAGGCTATTAGCCACCAATTTGTCAAAATAGTTACAACTTGCCATTAGATTGTGTTGGCAAACCCATCTGAAGTTCATGACCTTGTAGATTAAAAGTAACCCACTGCCACATGCCATTAAGTTGACACCTTGACCTTTGCCCTTAATTAAGATAACACAACTTCATACTGTATTTTTCTTCTAAAACAGCCTTTTCTGATTCATCTAAGCGTTTAAGGGTTTGCACTAAGAGATTTCCAATAGCATCAGATCTATCTGCTCCATGGTTGTGCTCACTGCCTCAGGAAGGTTTCTCCATATCATCTTCTGACATGTTTAACAAATCACCCAAGCACAATTGGTTCAAGAAAACCTTCGTACCCTGTGGTCATGCATGTAAGTTCCCAGGGCCGTCTTTTAGTGCATGCAACAGCAAATCTCTGCAGCACTTTACATTTGCATCTATTCGTTTAGCAGATGCAATTTATCCAACGAAAGGGCAACAACAGAAGCACATATTATACATATTTTGGCCATACTGAACATCTAAAGTTCACAAGTGAAGTCAAAGCTCATTCTGCAGTTGGTTCTTGTGCAAATGCTTAAAGGCACAGAATGATTAAAACATCAGTTTTTCCTTGTCATGACTCCCTTTGATGCGCCCCGGGCAGCAGATTTGGAATTTACTTCAATTTGGAGACTTCATCAAAGTACTAAAATCATTTTTTTTTTAAAATGAAAAATGGGATTTAAAGTGGAGCAGCAGAGAGGAAACCAACTTGACAAACTCAACCAGAAACAATTTGTAGAGAAATTATTTTTCATACTGTCAACAGAAACCGCAAAAATGGGCATATCACATCATATTTGGTGTAAATCTGTCAATTACTGTCAGTTCTGGATATCAACTGATTATATTGAATATGGATCACCTGCAGTTCCTTTCTGAAGCCTAATCCTGGCATAATACAACGTTTAATGGACTTAATGTTGTTGATAACAAAATAATAGATTTTTTTTTCTTTTTCTCTTTGTATTTTTTTTAATCAATTTGGTACAATATTATCCTATTCAAATCGATGTGATAAACAAGTTAGCTCAAAAGTAATCTAAAAGTAATCAAAAAGTATTTAAACTACAATTTTCATCATGGACTACAATTTGTAAGGTCTCAGGTCAGAAGAAAAGGGATATACTATAGG